GTGGGAACAACCATGCCTGGTGCTTTGTAAGGGATTAATGGTTCTTTCAAAATATAAAACATGTTTTGCTTCCCAGGAAAATTGTTCTAATCCTGCAGTGTCTGTTTGGAAAAAGGAATAATTGTGTTCCTAAAGTGATCTCTCCTAAATTGAATATTCCATTTATCTTTCTCCACCACTTTTGCTATTTCTGTTTTGCTTTGTTTGAACAAGTGGCTCTTATTTGGTCCTTTTTTTCCTTCTTTTTTCTTTTTTTTTCTTTTTTTTTTTGTTTGTTTGTTTTTTAATTGGGCAGATCGGTGAATCAGAAGCTCAGATCTCCAGCCGCTGGTTTATTACAGAAGTCTGTGCAGTGACAACAAATAGCGTGCATGTGCACGAGTGTGTGTGCGTGTGTGTGTTTTAAATAAAAGGAAAGCAGAGGTTTGCTCATTTGTTTGCCCATTGTGAAGCTGTCCCGCACCTTTCTCCTCCTTTGTGGCGGGGTGAAGGCTGCTGAATGGCGGCCTTGTGCCATTTGTTGATTTTAAACCTCCCCGTTAATCCACAGGAACCTGCTGGTGAGCGCAGCAGGAGAGCTCTGTGACAAGTGGAAATCTGGCCGGGGGGGAGGAAGGGGGGTCACCGGGGATAATAATCATTCAGCCACCGGCCTTTGTCACCCTTAAGCCTAATTGTTACCCTCTGCTGGTAACCGCATTGAAGTGCTGCCCTTTTAAGTGTTGCTTGATTTCGCTTGGCACCGGCTTCCCCTCCGGCGCGCTCACCGGTGGGGCTGCGACCCACGGGCCGGCCTGTGACGGGCCCTGCCGAGCCTTCCGTGCCTGCCCGAAACACCGTGGGCGGAGGAGCCCGCGGGGATGGCCGTGGCCGCATGGAAACCGCGCGGCGCTCGGCCCGTTCCCGTGTCTCGAGGGGCAGGGGCAGGAGGCCTTGCTGCGCTGCCTGGCGCGTGGGCAGGAGCTCGCGGGGAGGTGGGTGCCTGCCTGCAAGAGCAGCCCTTTCAAGCAGCAGCAGCAACGTGGTTTTCTGCGGCAGTGGGGAGGGAGAAGCTTTCTGTGTCCTTTCACACCAAGACGCGTGCTGCCTTCAGCCGCTTACCCAAACTGGAAGTGTGGGGATGGCGGAGGCAAATGAAACCTGGAGTTGCTTTTGCAAACTTGGTGGAGGGTGGGGGGCAGTGGTGCAGAGAGAATTAATTTAAAGCCAGCAAAGAAGAACCTTTAAGGTGTAATATCTTTTCTAACAGTCAGAAACTGGTTCTTCCACTTTCCTTGCCAGGCGCACATGCTAACATGGGTATTGCGCTTTCTCTTGTTTTCCTTGAAGAAGTTAGGGTAGAAGCTCCTCATGTGAAGTATAGTAGCTAAAACGCAGCCTGACCCTAAGGCTTTGCAGTGGGCAAGTACCTGTAAATGTGAAGTAAGTATGTGTTTGGGGATGGTTGGAGGGGAAGGAGGGCTGTCTCCGTGCTCCCCCCAGCCCTGTGCGGAGCGGGTTGTGTAAGGACATTTTACATAAGATTGCCCAGGCTTGTGTAGGGAGGAAAATCCCAGGGTTGCTGGCACCGGCTTCGCAAGTACTCCTGATCAAATACACTTTTCTTCCAACCAGATGGGCACAGTAGATTTCAAGCAGATGCAGCAGGTATTTTCTGTGCTCCAGTCTGAAAGTTGTGTCAGTGGTGGCGATGGTGAAGTCAGGGTCGCTGCTGGAGTCTGATTACACACCGTGATTACAGGGTTATTTTCAAGTCCAGTCTGGTGGCTTCTTCCACCTGGCTCAGTATTTCAGCAAAAGGTTTGATAATATATCTAAGCATTTGGTAAATGTTTTGACCACTTTGTGCTTGCTAGCCTTTTGCAGTAAAAGGAGGTCATTTATGTAACAGCTTTATTTTCAGTAGTCTGTTCATCTGTGTGTTGCAGTGGATGTTTCCCAGCGTCTGGTAGCCATGTCGTCGTGCTGTTCGGATTTCTTCATGGAGTGCAAATCATACTGGTAGCTGTGTGGGCCTCATACTCCCTTCCAGAAGAGTTAACTAATAACATCTTCTGATATGAGAAAAGGATCAGTTCTCAGCTGTTACGTCTTCGGTTTTCTGTGATGTGGTTTTAACTGTAGCTGCTGAGCCTGGTTATTAATTGCGTTGCAACTGTTTTTGCAGGACATGTCTCAGGAAGGCTATGGAACCAGATCTCAACCCCCTATGGCCCCAGGAAAGCCTAACCACGAAGACTTGAATCTGATCCAGCAGGAAAGACCATCAAGCTTACCAGTAAGCATCTAAGGTTTCTGTTTAGTTTCTACAGTGTAGTATTTAGAAAATGAAAACACTTAATGTAGGACTTAATTGCATCTAGTGGATGAGAAATAGTGGAAAGAAATACTAAAGAGAAGTAATAACAAACTGTTTTTAAAAATACTTTGAGAGCAGAGAGCTTATATGTGAGTGGATTTTTTTACTCATACGGGCTTTTGCTCCATTCAAAAATACCATTATTCGTGCACAGCTGGGTTTGTGCACATGTGTATTTACATACAGGAAATGGATTGATTTTTTCCTTTTAGCTTCGGGAATTCCGTATTTCCACAAAACAATCGGACGGCGAAGAGGCTTTTGTTACTCCTATCCCTTTTCTAAGGATTTCAGTAAGTTTTGATTTAGAACACGGTCACCGTGAGTTATTTGCTCCAAATCCCAAGCACAAATAATACGTTTGATGTGTTAATTCTGGTATGGTTAAATACTACATTTAGAAGTCATAATGACAGTGATACTTTGGATAGGGTGATCTTTTGGTAAGATGATTGTTTTGGACCAACCTTTTTTAGTTTTCTGAGCTCTGTGCTTTCTGCTGTGGGGGAAACAGCACAAACAAAATCAAACTGCTCTGCAAAGACTTTGCAGCTGCTTGTATTTTTGAAGGTCGGTCTTCGCTGTAGTAGATGAAAGTTCTCTCTGACCTTGTTTCTGTCTGCCCCTGTTTGGGAGGATTTTGTTTGTTGTTAGTAAAAGAGTGTGAATTTAAACAGTTTTCATCTTTTACATAGAATATATTCTAGCTGTTCTAAGTGGGCTTTGACTTGGAATAATATGTCGTAAACCTGTTGGATGTTTCCTGTAAGTTCACTGAGCGTATATTCATTTCCAGTTGTTAGAGGGATCCTTCTGTATGCTTACCTTATCAACTAACTTATTTGTGAAATTCAATTGTTTGCGTATCTTAGCTCTAACGTATGCCATATTGACAACCCTTAAAAAACAGAAAAAGTATTGAAAGTCAATCTGTAAGTTTTCCAGTAATACCTAATCACTGGGTAAAATGTTGTCATATGATGACAGTCCTGTTTAGCATAGGCCTCACACAGGTCCAGCTCTCCTTCCTTCCTTCCATTCCTCCCTTCCGTTCCTGGCCTCTGCATCAGGATCACCTTAATAGCTACAGTAGTAAAAAAAAAAATACTTCAGAGTTTCTTTAAAAAACAACTGTCATACAATAAACAACTTCGTAGCCTTTTAAAGTTATAGCTTTAAAACCTCGGACAGTATATGCACAGGAAATGCTTTAGAGGCTGTCTCAGATAAATGTATGTCCTAAGAGCAGTTGTGGAAACTGGTGTAAGAAGAGCTACCCATTTGCTTTGAGCTAATTTTGAAATCTTTTTTTAAGATTTAAACAGGTCTCAAAAACAAGTGTTGGCAATTAGTTTAAAAATACTAGTGAATTGGAGGTTTTATCTAACTTCTTAAAAAGCAATGGTAGCAGAAGGGACTTTTAATCTCCCAGTTTTTCATAAGCAGTATATATTACAGTAGGTGGAAGTTACTTATTAACTAATGGTCTTCTAATTTGCCTGTGATTTTTCTTAAAAGACTGCCCTATTTTCAAGCCATTCTCTGTCCTACCTTCATCATCATCATATCTAAGCAGAGTATTGGGTATTATCTGTGTCCCTAAACGTTTGGTATATTTAGTAGCTCATTATTATTCTTGGTAGGAGTAAGTTGGTGGTATTAATAGTGAATGTTAACCATTTTGGCCACATAGCTTAGAATTTAAGTTGGGCCTAAATGCTGTTATTCATGCTGAAAAGCTTTGATACGTATCCACAGACCACTTCATATACTCAAAAACTCTGCTGCTGGATAGGGAAGGGAATGGGAGATCTTTTCATTTTGTATTGGGGCAAGGGGTACCAAAATTAAAAAGAGCTGTAGCAGTGTGTATGTGGCTGCATTGTTTGTTTTCATAGTGTGAACAACCTCCCCATGATCTTATTTCCAAGTAAAATGACTTGGAAAGTAGGAGCAGCCCATACATTCTAACCATGGTGAACATGGTAAATGCTTTCATATACATGCTCTATATGGGGTAAGCCTGACTTCCGCATATAAAAATTTTTTTCCTTGAACAGAGATCTGTATTTAGGTTTGAACTATTCATGAGAACCTGTGATCACTCTCCCTCGTTTAGTATCCCTAGTTATAGTGTCATTATGGGACGCTAGATGTAAGCTGCTCAGCGTTGTTCTCAGGATGTGCTGTAATGCTGTCCTTGAGGGCAGGCAGCAAGTCTTGGTTGTCTATTGCAGTTAGAAATGACAGCAGTGATATTGCGCCTTTAATGAAGTTTGGTTATGTTTTGGTTTTTGGAAATTTGCCTACTGTATTTTTATTTCTTAATGGCGCCATGTGAAATCACAGCAGCTACATAGCAAACTCTTACAAATGTCTAAAACCAACAAAAGAGATGTAATAATGAATGGTGAATGGTGTTCTCTGATGTGGCTTTAAAACAAACAAAAAAGCTTTTCCTGTGATGGATTTGAAGCTAGCCACTTTCTGCAGCTCTAAATGCTGACTTGTGTCATCCTTTTGGAGAGTGTTTTTCAGCAAGTTTGTGTCACAGTGAGCACAGCTAAACAGCTCAATAGTTGTTCCATTTCCTTCACACGTTGTATATAAAAGTCCTGACATGAATGTTCCCATAAAGTTCAAAGCAGCCAAATTTGTAATGTGGGTTGGTAACAAATGGCTACAAACAAAATATGGCTTTATTAGCCACTTCTAATGGCCTGCCAGGTTCTATACAACGCTTGCTTTCCTTTGCCCTCAGTGCTCTGCTATCTGGAGATTTGACCTGGAGGTCTTTGACCATGTGGAGTCTCTGAGAGCCCCAGTGAAATGTGGCACAGAATAGCGCTCAGAGCACTTTTGTTGGGGTCACAATTAGAAGGAAATCTCAGGCTTTTGAGAAAACATGGCTGTTTGGTACTCTGTGAGGGAAAGGAAGTCATAAACAGAAACTGTTCCTGATTAGGGAAAAGGAAGAGAAGGAGGAGAAGCCTAAATGAGAATGTCTGGCGAACAGCTACTACAGGAGTTATTTATTGAGATTCAGGGGATAATGGCAAAACACACAGATTTCTGCTAATGTGGGAAACACAGAGCAGTCTTGCAGAAAACGCTTCCAAATGATAGATCTGAAAATTTGCCGCTGCAGTAAAGGAGTTTGTCAGCAGCAGACATTGTGTGTCTGTGAAGACTAATACTTCACCTCTAATGAATATTTTCGTAAATGTTCGTATTGGATTGCGTTGATGGGATGGAGAATAGAGAGCACAGGTGAATTTCATTTCTTTTATTGCTGTCAGCATGAAAGTCGTTTAAGCCAGGCAGGCGCTGGGGTTGCTTTGCTCCTTTTTGCCCGCTGTCGCGTGTGCTGCTGTGGGATGTGAGGCTGGTGGCTTGGCCGGGGTCTCCCTGCCCTCAGACCGTGGCTGCTGCTCGCTCATCCTTGTCGCTGCCCCCAGGGAAGCTCCGTGGCTGCTCGTGCCGCTGCTGGGACAGACCACGGAGCTGCCTTGGGGAACGGAGCCATCTGAGAAATAGCCCGCTCTTCATTTCTGCGTCGCTTCTTGACCGGAACATTGTGTCATTGCCTGAGCATCAGTGGGACAGCAGAGGAGGAGATGGAAACCAGGAGCCATGGTGGGACAGTAATGCTACAGCAGCTCTGGTTTTTAGCCAGATCTACAGACTGTAGGGTCTCATTAGAGTGGTTTAAGATGGTGTTATCCTGTCAGCTAAGACATGATGACAAAACACATACGAATCTCCAGTGATCACAGAGCTGTACGCTGGGAGAAGGCAATTTGCTTTTTTTGGTAAGACAGGGTTTTTTGCCAGCTTACACCCCTGAGTCGTTTTGCTTGAGGGTTTCTTCACGGAGGCAGAACAACTTTTACAGAAAATGAAATAGTGGCCAGCAATGGAGGTGGGCTGCTGGTTATGCACTGTGGTGAGCTGTGATGTTTAATGTCAGCTCTACTGTGTGCAGGGTAGTGAGCTTCGGAGTAAGGTAGGCCTCAAATAACGCATACCATTGCTTGGATAGATAGAAGTTTTGAGACATCGGTAGCCATGTTGCGTTATGCGTGGTATGTTGGAGAACAGTGCAGTAATGATCCTTCTTGTTATTAACCACTGCAGATCTGTTCCCTCTGTCTTGGCGAACCTCTAAAGAGACAGGCAGGCCTATGGTCAGCACACGCTTGTTTGTTGCAGAGGAAGAGTTCTAAATTGGATTTCAGAAACCTCAGGTGAAAACTAGTGGTGTACTATAAATACAAACCTAGATACACTTGGATCAGGGACTACACAGTTTCTGATGCGTGGCTTGGTAAGTGATAAAATACATGTAATGGTTTGGGAATCTGTTTTCCCTGCCTAACTTGTAGAGGATGAAGTATATTGGAAGGTTGTCTCTAGCAATTGTTCTCCCTGAACAAATGTATTCAGTGGCTGAAGTCTTAATAGAGCAGAAGAATAATTTCCAGTATCATATGAGAAACCTTATTTGAAAGTTGGTAGGAGATACCTCTTTTTCTTTTCTCAGAGGTTAAGCTGCTGGGGCCAGGGAATGTGGTGACATTTATACAGAGCTTAGTTCAGTAAGCCCTAATCATGGGCAGAGTTGTGGGCACTACCATTATGTAAATATTAATCCCCACCATAGCCCCTCAGTAGTAAAGGAGAGCTGGTGCAGCAACCCTGTCCTTTTGTAGCTCAAGATGGAATCTGTGCAGTACTTGAGCTAGAAAATTTGATCCAAATTCAAGTGACATTGAAAAAATTCTGAGATATTATTTCTGACTTGAGAAAGGAGAGGGAAAAATCAGTAAATAGATTCTTTGTAGTGGCAGGTGAATGTAGTTGGCAGTTGATAGATACATGGATAGTGCTTAGTAGCAATTGTGTCCTATGGTTATTTG